TTTTTTTTAACATACCGGGATCCATGTCATACTCAGCGGAAACCTTTTCTTCTTTATAGTACCTACTACATGATCCATCTTATATACTAATACAATAATAAGAAAACTTTCTTTACAAAAAGGGCAGAAATTAAATTTGATTTTAGAAACTGCATTATGAAATTTCTTTAAAAGATTACAATCGTCATCAAAAAGCTGTCATGCAAATAGTAGTGGCAAGCTATTGTTCTGAAATTTTTGGTTAAAAATAAATGATTATATTTATAATTTTTATAATTTGCGATTGTTATTATTAAATTTTGTAAATATATAAAATAATATATATTATATTAATTACTTGGGGTTTATTTTCTTAACAAAATGATTTGACGTTTGCGACGATCTTGTCTTTTTGTTGGCTCATTATTCGATAACCCATTCTTGTAGTTGTCATAAATCTAATCTTCTTTTAGTATCATTCTTACAGCCGTTTGGTCAGGCGTAAAATTCTTTTACGTCTTTACGCTTTAATACAATAAGTCATCAATCAGTTGGCTTTAGTGAAGTCTTATTTTTTTTTTTGAAGATCTTTTAATGATTGGATTTCTGATTAACATTTGTTAAAACCTTACACTTCAGGTAATGATCATATCATTTGTATACAGCCAGGTCACCTTTTCCTTTACAACGATAAGTCTTTTATCCATGCCACACATCCCAGTTGGCGAGTGTTTGATAAACAGTATCTCGTAAACAATTCTGTCTATTCACTTCTAATGGTTAGCTGAACATAATAATAATCTCTACGATTTGATTTTAGCGTTAGCCCCGAGTCAATTATCTAGCCGGTTCTATTGCACTTTTATTCTCATCATTTCTCTGAGATTATGCCTGCGTAAAGGCGTAAAGTACTCTATTAATGAAGCTTATAAGATATTGTTGCATCTGGAGTAGCTACTTATCTGAAGTAGATCCTTTAAATATTTAATTTCAGGGACTTAATTTTAGTCTAGGATATCTAATGTGACTATTTCAAATAGGTAGTTACTTCGGATGCAACATCTATATCCTAACTTCACCCTAATCTTGAACCTGGGTCAACAAGAATCTCACGCAAACGTTGGCCTAAAGCACAACATAGTCTAAAGAGTTTGATCAACGTACATGTATGATAAACGCTTGTCAATATCATTATACATTACCCACTTATATTCAAGCTGGCACACATTTCTTACATTTTATAATATAAATGTGTTTTCTTGATTAAAATTATACATTTCAAATATTTAAGATCATTGAAACATTTTAAATAAATCAGAGACCAAGTACAAACTTCCACATAAAACAACTATTTGATATTGTTTTTCGTAACCTGCAAATGCTTGACTGAGCGCCTCACCTAGGTTTTCTACAGCTTTTGAATTAACCTTTTGTTCAAATGAATTTACACAGTCCAAAATAACTTGTGGATCATAACTTTTAACCCAAGGCATGCCCTCGACATTCGTAAAACTCACAGCAAACAATGAATCACCATTTCTCATTAATAATTCAAGTATTTTCGAAATATCTTTTCCTTCTGTGGCAGCAAATATCCAACAAACTTTACAAGTCTTTGTAACTTCTTTATTCTGTAATTGTAATTGCTTATCAACATAAGTTCTAAGGGCTTTTGCTGCAGGTGGATTATGTGCACCGTCAACCAATACTTGAAGTGTTTTTGATGATTTTATGATATTAGAAATATCAACCCATTGTAACCTTCCTGGCCACTGTGTGCAAGCTATTCCATTCTTAATATGGTCATTTGTTATTGTAGAAAACTTAGATTCTGTCTTTCTCAAAAGATCAATTGCCAAAACTGCTGTAGCAGCATTTTCAAGTTGAAAATCACCTTTAAGCGGAATAAACAATTCAAAATATGTTTTATTCAATAGTTCCATTGATGCTAGTCCAACCATTTCCGATTTCCATGTTGCAGGTTTAACAAAAACTACATGTGAGCATCCAATATCTTCAGAATATTTCTTTAATGTATTCTCTGCCACTTGTTCAATTTGAGGTGCGATCACAACTTTGCAACCAGTTTTCATAATACCAGCTTTTTCCTTTGATATTGCTTCAATATTATTACCCAAGAAATTCATGTGATCCATTCCTATGGAGGTAATAATACTAAGATTAGGCGATTCAAAAACGTTTGTAGCATCTAATCTACCACCCAGTCCAACTTCAATGATAGCCAAATCAACTTTTTGAAAATCAAACCACCAAATTGCCGTAGCAGTTAATAATTCAAAAAGGCTTGCACCAATATTGTTATTGGAATTAACGGCATTAATAAAATTATAAGTTTTATCATAATCATTTTTTTGAATCGGTTGTCCATTTATCCTTATAGAATCATAAGGTTCAATTAGATGAGGAGAATTAAATCTCGCAGTTTTGAAACCTGATTTCATAATTATTTGGTCTATATATGCTGAAATAGATCCTTTACCATTCGTACCAGCTATATGAACTACTGAGAGTCTTTGATAAGGTTTATCAAGCAAATCAAGAAGAGAATAAATCCTAGTTAAACCCAAGTTAATGCTTGTCGACATGGTATTGAAAGATTAAGTTTATGAAAATCGGACAGATTGCCCTTAAACATGGTAAAGATTTTTTTAACGCTAATGATTGGACGATTTGTTTATGTAGGATTAATACGTAGCTAGACAATCATAGTACGTATGTGTAGAGCTTCGTACTCGTATTCGTTATTCGAATATTCGAATAAATAATTAAATGCAAATTAGGGTTGTGGGCACAGAGGCAAGTCAAAGGGCATGCTCAAGTCACATGATAAAAGCAAGAACAATCATTGGCTATAATTAATAATACTATTTCACAATAACAACTATTTTTGCAACGTGTGATTATTTTTATTATTATTAACAAAACAAAATGATTTATCAATTAAAAAATTCGAATCTGATAGAGTTCAAAACAATAACTACTTAATTCTTTAGTCAGCATTACATGGTCGTGATTCACTTTAACTAAAATATAAATATTTCTTGCTATGCTTCGGATAATAGATTCATAGAGCATATGATGTACACTCCCCTGACATTGATCACCGGAATTTTATAATTACACAATGTCGATCATTTTTTTTTACAAGTTTTACGA